TCAGCTGGAATGGGCCAAGCAGGGAAGCGGGGCTGCGGGCGGCGGCGCCTGTATTAGCGCCTGTTTCCCCAGAGCCACCCTCGCCACAGCTGTCTGGGGAAGTGGGTTCCAGTGGGTTCCGGGCGGGGCCCCCACTGAAAGCAACGCCTGGGAAAGATCCATGGCCAGTGAGCCCCTGGGCATTACTGTGCTACTGGACTTCATCGGCATCGACTGTGCTTTGGGTAGAATAGGGGGTCATGGCTTGACTGTCTGTCCTCAGAACAACGATCGAAATGGGTCAAAAATGAGAGAATTGAAGCCATCATCCGGAGCATGTCCTCATCATCGCCTGTCGCTCAGGAGACGATAGGGAAGCATCATACCACTGTAAAGACGGAAGTGGCGGCCAGAAGCTCGCTGGGGAGGGGAATACGACACAGCTGCATAACATACCTCAACCAAGAAACGCGCGGTCCCAATACTACGCCCTCGACTGCGACGCAACGAGCCTGGTCGCGCAGTGATCACCCCCTCCTCTCGCGTTGCTTTCGAGCAGGGCATTGGTGGCTTGCCCGCGTGACGACGTCTGGGATGATGCGATGTTGATAGTACCTCGCTCACCGGTGCCTCGCCGTGGTGTTTCAAAGTCACTGTGCCTTCTACCCCGCACGCTTTGCCCTTCGGTCTGGACGAATGAGTCGAGACACAGACACACACACATCCCCCCGAAGCTGAAGCATTGCCCCTGATCGAATGGCCTTTAAAGGTGTCCCCTCGACCTCTCGTTTCTTGACATAGAGCCTTCTCTCTTCTTCGTACCACCATCCATCATCAAGCACCATCACCTCTTCAAAGAACAACATCAACATCAACCGATCTCTCACAGCTGCCTCTCACAACAGCTTCCTCATTTATCGCAGTCGACTTACACCCTCGTAACGTCGCTGCCCAACCACACAACCACCCACAAATAACCGCCTCACACCAGGTAAGGCCTCATCGCCTCCCCACTGCATCCTCCCAGTAAATCTGACCACTATGCGTAGTCATCATGCCTCCCCGTATTCCCGTCACCAAGGGCTCCGAGACCCTCTGCTACGGCGCCGCTACCGTTGCCGCCCTGGCTCCCCTCTACTTCATGATTCCCGGCGCCGAGCAGCGTCTGGCTTCCCAGACCGCCAAGTGGGCGCCCCGCTGGGAGCGTAACATCAGCTACTTCACCCCCTCGGCCGAGCGTGGCATCAAGCGCGTCGAGCCCCCCGTCGCCCGCACCGTCCAGGCCATGGAGAGGCGCCTGCCGCTCGAGAAGATGGCCAAGGGTATGGAGAGGCGGATCAACAACGGCATTGACCGCTTCAACAATGTCAGGAAGTAAGCTCTTGTTGGACGCAGTGAGAATTCTGGCGTAGACATGATGTGTACGATGAAAGCAGCTTGGTGAGAGGAGGAAGGTTAGATACTAGAGCGTGCCCTAGATGGTGACTCGTACAATACCTTGAAGGATGGAACACAACTTCGTTAAATTCATGATCGCTTCAACTGATGGGTGTGATAATTGACATGCAAGCGGCCTGCGCTGATCGTAGTCATTTCTGTCAGCATTCACCGTTCTAGCCAATCTTTTTAATGCCATGTTTACCTGGATGCATGATGATGGTTGTGATGTTTTGTACAAGAAACTGTTAGTGCTTCAAACGGCAAAGCCAGTCTACCGATGAGGGTCCCCGTGGCTTCGGACAGTCGCCATGCAGTCACTATGAGCCTTGACGACTAGAGAGTCGAGCTCTATGCTATTCTTCATCAAAGTCGAACTGTCGAACAACTATCAAAGAAAGAGAATTTAGAGGAGACGACCGCTCAACTGGTATGCATGTTGGACCCCAGAGTAGCAGACTGCTCCTCTGCTCATCCCTCTGTCATGCCTGAGACGTCAATGTGCGGATAAATGGCGAACTTTGGCGAAATCAAGTCACTCCTGAGGTTCCTTGCAACTAATTAGACGTAATTCGATCTTGAAAAACTCATGACAATGCTTGGCCGATTGATCGGTATCGTGCTTCATGTATCGTCGCCGAGCAGTGAGCAATCGCACGATCCCACCAGTGTGAGTAGGCCTTGCTGCACATTCAGTGTAGCGAAGATGGCACCGCCCCTTGCTCCGATCAATCGTAAGGCATCATAGAGCGATGAAGATATCATCTTTTGGTATCAGACTGTGCTGTCCATCTACCAGATCCGGACTTCCATGCATTTTGTCTTCACCTTCACCTGGCTGTTCGGGAGTGTCAATTGACCTACCAGCTCAACATGTGCGTCGGACTGTAGTGCTCTGGCACCACTCGTCGCACACCACAAAACAGTTGACGTACGCCGCAACCGCTGCACAGGAAACAAGGTGAGCGAAGGACAGAGAAGAGGGGGAGGGAGAGGGGAAGAGAGCGCAGACCTGGGTGGTCATCGTTCGCCACTCGGCAGCGGCAGCCACCACAACTTGCAGCACACCTGAAGGATGCGAGCCAGTCATGTGCAATCGCTGGCCTCTAGGTAGACGCGCCAAGGGCATTCCTGAACTCTACTGATGGTTGGGGTAGGTCGCTTGGTCGCTTCCGGGGGTTACAGACCGTCAAGGGCCGTCGCAGAGGAAATGAGCCCCCACGGCTGAGCCGCCGATTTAGGTGTTCAACCACAATGACGAAGACGCCCATCGGACTATGTCGCCAGGAAGGGATTCTACGCGTGAGCAAGCCTACGCGTCCGAGCGAAAGCCATCACTCAGTGTCCAACTGAAGCAATGCTCTATTCAGGGGCAAGAGCGGGGTATCTCCCCGCTCACCGACCCCTACCGCGCACTCACCGAAGCACGCCTATCTTCAATGATGATAGCTTCGAACTCAATAAAGAGCACTGACACTGTCGGACTGTAGAACTGAGACAACACTCTCCATCCCTGCGTCTGACTAAGCTGGTGACGACGCCCACTCACGAAATGGCTTCGTGGCCGGTAGAATCAAGAGAACAACGGTATCGTCGCGTGCACCCAAGGTCCCTGCCTATCGCTGCTTCAGCCGTCATCTCCAATGATAGCAGCCATCGCGCGGTTTTCACCCCTGGTGAGACCGCTGCAGCCTTGGCACGTCATCGCCGCCGTGATTTTCATCTCCATAGCGATCCTCGTTTCCGCAACCCTGTTGAGCATTGCTTTCGGCATTCAATACCCCTCGAACGTGCCGCGCATCAGAGAAAAGCCCGGCGCCGGCCACTTCAGCCTGAGAACCAGATTAGCTTACTACATTGACTGCGAGGCCCTCTTCCGCGAGGCCTACGAAAAGGTGAGCCCCTCCGTGGCGTCAAGAGTAACCCCCATTGTTGAGCACGAGCGCTGAAAGCTGCGTAGTATGGCAAGTTTGGGAGAACTGTTCTGGTTCCCGGGCTCGGCCTCCGCACCGAGGTCATCTTGCCACCGAGTGCTCTGCGCTGGATGTTGTCTCTCCAGGACAGCAGCATCAGCTCAAGCCATGCGTTCGTCGAGTTGGATCAGCTCACGTACACGCTGGGCGAAGACCGCCTGTTGATTGATAGCTGGAACGCCCTGATTGTGAAGCGCGACATGAACGCCGTGCTGGAGAAGGTTGCGGCTGTGCTGAATGACGAACTTCGCGTCGCGTTCGATGAACAATTTGGCACAGACACGGAAAACTGGCGCGAGGTGGATCTGAACAAGGTTATGCCTCTCATCATTTCGCAGGCTGCTGGCCGATACACCATGGGCCTACCTCTATGTGCGTTCATCTTCCTGTCTCGCGTACCAGGGCTGATAGAATGTGTCACCAGGCAGAGACGAGGAGTATCGGCAGAGTACGATTGACGTGTCCAACTTTTTCTTGACAATGGCCGCCGTCATGGGCATGGTGCCCGTCTTTCTCAAGCCGATCCTCGGGCCTCTTGCCGCCCTGCCGATGAATGCAGCCCTCCGCAAGTTCCACAACCTAGTGCGACCGGAGTTTAATAAGCGCATGGACATGATTCAGGCTGCCGAGAAAGGAGAGCCCGTCGACGAGCCCGAGGACCTGTTGCAAATGGCCATACGCTACGGCCTGGCGCACCGCAGCCACGAGTTTAGTTTTCTCGAAATCAGCAAGCGCATGACCATCACGAACATGGGCACCACGCACCAGACCAACATGACCATGATCAACATGATGCTCGAAATCATCGACTCGGACGCCGAGTTCAATACCATTGCCGTGCTGCGGGACGAGATGCGCAACGTCCTCGGCGACGGGCAGGATATCAAATGGACCAAGGCTAAGATCGCCCAGATGGTCAAGGCGGACAGCGTCGGGCGCGAGACGTTGCGCAAGACGTCTTTTGGCAACCGCGCCATGCTACGCATGGTCATTGCCGACTCGCTCAAGACGCCGGACGGCGTCGTGCTGCCGAAGGGGAGCATGCTGTCGGTGCTGACGCCACCGCAGCACTTTGACGAGGCGACGCATGAGGACGCGGGCAAGTTTGATCCGTTCCGCTTCTCGCGTGCGCGCGAGGGCGAGGCGACAAAGAGCGGAGCTCTCGGGTTCACGTCCACAGGAGCGCACTTTTTGCCGTTCGGGCACGGTAGGCATGCGTGTCCCGGCCGTTTCCTCGTCGATTACGAGATGAAGATGATCATGACGTATATTCTACAGAACTACGATATTGAGTTCCCGGAGGAATACCGGGGGCGGCGGCCGCAACAGAAGTGGCAGGCCGAGGCCCGCTTGACTCCATCTGACGGAGCCCGTATTCGGGTGAAGAGGCGGAGGGTGGCTGCATAGGGATAGATGTTAACAAAGAATCATATTTCCTACGCTGCACTGGCAGCGGCGGGAAGTCAATATGCCTGAGCCAAGGCAGGGAGATAGATCTAGCTGATCCAGATCAGTGAAATCACGACGCATGAGATTAAGACCCCGTCTGGGTTTTGCGGAGAGCCGTGGAAGAGTAGTGGGTATTCAGAGATGAGGAAAGAAAATCTGTGCCTAGAACGACTTGATAGGTGACTCGTCTGGGTTCTTGGAAGAGTCGAAACGATGCAGTTCCTTCTTCTCGTGTCCAAGGATGACTAGTCATTGTGGTTAGCTGGGTCTCTCAGAACAAGAGACGGGCACCCTTACTTCTGTCAAAAAGGTAGTAAGATGTCACGAGAAGAATAGGCATGGCAATCAGCCCAGCTGTCCATCTCCTCGTGAGGCTATTGTATTCCTTCTTGTATTCCTTGCTATTCGGATCAAGAGGGGGCCGGGTTTTCGGGGCGGGCTTCTGGCCCCGTGGTGGTTCGGCGCGCTTGGGATTCACGGCTGTGGGGAAGTTCTGTCCTGGGCTCCTCACTGAAGATGCTGTGTGTGTAGTCTTCTCAGGCTGGACTGTCGCGTTCGATGGCGTGGTTGAGGACCTGAGTGTAGCTGGCTTCGGTGCCGGTGCTGGCGTGGAGACCGTCGTTGGTGTTGGTGTTGGTGCATTCTTTTTCAACGCAGAGAGGTTCGCATAGGGAGAGGTATTGCTGGTCGGCTTGGTTCTCGTAGCATAGCATCGAAATGCAACTGAGTTGTTTGTCGAGCACGCTCGTAGCGGTCTCTGTAACCGGGTTGGCAGCATGATTGGTAGCGGATGGGACGACGTCTCGGTAGAGGTACGCTTGTGCGGTGGTTGTGATGTTTCGAGAGCGGCTGTGCGATCGATTGATCTAGACGAAGATTCTTAGGGCAGTCAGAGGGATCCAGCGCAATTTTTGGTTGTGCAAGTGCTAGGTATGGTTCGCCTTTGAGCGGTCGCGTCTGATGTCGCGTTGGACACTTTTGTCGTGAATCAATCATCAATTGCTCGATTGGGTGGGGCCTGTGTAGCTGCGTGGTGGGGCAATCTGCACCTGCCCCCATCTGTTGCCAGAATGAGAGGACCCTAGACGACATGGTGACGACGTGCTAACAGACCTCAACTAGGAGTGACACAGAATCCGGGTCTGACTGCATGCATAGTGAACATGGCGATTGCAGTGTGCTTATTTTTCTTCTTCCTTCGAAGCAGAACCCCAAAAGCAATGTCTCAACAATGTCTCAAGGGGTAACATGGTCCCCTGGGACCGACTTTGAACACACAGTGCTTCACCCCCGCGGGAAGCCACCTCATGTAGCCACAGCACAATAGCAACAAGTCATCACCAAACCGATGGTGTATTTACTTCCTCGTTGCGGTGTGATGTCACCACTGAGCGTCATACTCCTCCGTTCTGGCCTTCTTCCGTGTCTCATCCTCCAGGGAAATGACATCCACCGAACGCTTCTTCGAATGTTGTGAATCTGCAACTCAAAGTCAGCTCTTGCTCGAGCATCTGTTGACGACACACGCTTACGAGGGGGCGTCGGCACCGCAACCTGCACCTTCAGCACCCGCAGGTCCCTCCTGTATTCCTGCATCTGCCGCAGCAGGATCGACAAGAGATGCGCATTCTCCTCCCTGTCCGTCTTGAGCGCGTCAATCTCCGCGCGCTGGGCTGCCGTCGTCTCGGCCGTCATCTCGCGCAGGCCCTGGAGGTCCTGTCTCAGCTTCATCGTGCGCTGGAGGTTCCAGGCGTTGAAGTCCATCTGGTCGAACTCTGCGTCCGGGCCGCCGAAGTTGAGGCTCGGGTTTACCTCGACGGGGATCGTGGCGTGTGGTGCCTCGCTCTGCACGCTGGCCACGTCGTTCTGCTCAAACTGCTGCTCTTCGCGACGTTCCACCCGGTCCTTCATGTCCTCAAAGGGCGCGGCTTGCTGTTCAGACAAGGGTTTGTGCTCGTCGATGACATGTGGCGGCTGCACTGGCGTGGCAAGGAGCAGCTCGTGAACAGGCTTCGCGGTGTAGCCGAAACCAAGAAACGGGACGGGAGCACCATATTTGACCTGATAGTCGACGAGCACGGCGCACACGTCCTCCTCCAGTGTCCCAGACTGGTGGGTATACCGCAGAGCGAGCATCTGCGCCGAGCTCGGCAGCCGGTGCGAGAAGGCCTCCCCCGCCTCCCTGTACTGGATCGCAGCCTCCAGAGCCTTTTTGATGGACCGGACGTAGACAATGTCGCGGTGAGCAGCCGGCGGTTTGGCGTACTTGTCGATCTTGTCGTAGAAGTCCCTGAGCAGCAGCGCGACCTCGCTCTTGAGCTCGGCGTTCTCTCCCGTTCTGCGACTGTCAAGGTCTTCTTCCATGGCTGCAAGAGCCTCTGCATGAGTGCTGCAGCTGCGAATTCCGCGGTAGCCGTCATTCTGGGGGTCGCGTTCGTTATCGTGATTGTCCGAGCCTGCCATGGTGTGTTTGAAACAAGATGCAATATCCCTTGTGTGCGTCTGATGCCGCTTCTGATCAGAGTCCTTCGTGCCTCTCAGTACTGCGCAAAGATGTGAGATGTGTTATAGCTGCCAGGCTATTTCGGAGGACCTAGCTTACCCAAAGTCTTTGCCTTGTAAGAAGAAGCGAGCAGAAGTCTGCCTTGACATCAATTGGCCAAAAAGGAAAACGAACGCAAGACTCAACTAGGAGCTGCAAACTATGGAGATGGTGATTGTGAGGTGGATGAATGGAAAGAGCAGAAACGGCAGACAATGCCATCCCCCTCCCCCAGCCGCCTACACTGATGACCTCCAGTGAATGGAGACCATTACTTGCGGACAATAGGCCATTCAAACAATTCAAATGTCGAGAGCCACATAAAAACGGCAAGTGCAGGAAGCGGTGCAATCGCGACGACAGTGATCTGTCTAAAGTCTGTATATATAATTTGCCACAGCAATCCCTATTCAGTCGACGGCTTGAAAAAAGGTCACGTCAGAAACCCAGAATATTCAGCAAAAAAGGTAATGTCAAGTTCTGTACGGTGATGATTCCCACAGGCACAAAGCTGCGGCGCTGCTCACATGCTACCCAAACTCCAAAAACCAATGCTCGCCCACGGACCATTCACCCTACAATCGCGCTGTCTCCTTCTGCACCTCCGCCTCGTCCCTCTTGCCACTAAAAACAACAATATCGCGCGACTTGACCGTGCCGCTCTTCGAAAGCACCTTCCGCCTCCCGCCCGTTGTGAGCGGGGCGTCGTCATCCCGGTTTCGGATGTAGAAGGCCCAGTCGGCAGAGTTGTCCAGCTCGGTCTGCGAGTACCCGTTACCGAGCCAGGCAAACCTATTGCCGGCGTGGACAATGTCGAGGTCATCGAAGCGGACCTCCTTGAGGGCCTCGATGTAGTGCAGCGTCGAGCCGGGCCACAGGGCGACGACGGGCCCATCGGCGCGGGGCTTGTACCAGGAGCGGCAGGGGTCGGACCAGACTGTCTTGGTCATGAACCACTCCTTGTACTCGACAAAGTCGCGCACGGCCTGCTCCTTGGGCGCAATCTGCACGGCGTTTGTGCTCTGCAGGCGGTCAATGACCTTGAGCATCCAGTCGGCCTGGGCCTCGATGGCCGAGAGGACGGGTCCGTTGCCGATGGGGCAGTTGGGGCCGAGCATGTTAAAGTAATTGGGAAAGCCGGCGACGCCGATGCCGAGGTACGACTCGGGCGTGCCGAACCACTTGTCCTGGAGGTTCTCGCCGCTGGGGGCGATGATGGGGAAGCGGGGACGGAACGACGTGTCGAAGCCGGTGGCACAGATGAGGACGTCTACGGGGTGCTCACGCCCGTCTTCGCCAATGGGGCCACGCTCGCCGAGGGATTTGATCTCGCCGTAGACAACCGATACGTTGGGCTTGGTAAGGGACTCGAGATAGTCTACGCCGGGTGTCAGACGACGGCACCCGACGCTCCAGTCTGGGATGAGCTTTTCCTCGAGGTAGGCGTCGCCGAGCTTTTCCTTCATCTGCTGGGTCATGTAGGTGTGGGTGTCGCGGTTGATGCGGTTGTTCTTGAGGAAGATGCCGAATTGACCGTTGAGGCCGGATTCAATGTTCTTGCGGTACTCAAGCAGTGCGGCAGGGTTACCCACAAACTCACGCTTCTCTTCTTCCGAGAAGCGATGCTGTTCGAGGCCTTGAACTGGAGAGACCCAGGTGGGCTCACGGATGAATGTCGTGACCTTTTTGCATTGGTCGCGGATGGCAGGCAGGACCTGGATACCAGACGAGCCGTTGCCGATAAGGCCGACGTGTTTCCCCTCGAGGCTCACGGATTCATCCCAGTTGGCGGTATGGAGGAGAACGCCTTTGTACTTGTCGAGACCAGGGATAGCAGGCCACTTCCAGTTGTTGAGGATGCCGCCAGCATTGATGAGAACATCACAGTGATCCTCGACGATGGCACCTGTGGCAAGGTCCTTGATCTTCACGTCATACCCGCCGGCCTGGTGGTTCCAAGACGACTCGACAACCTGGTGCTGGAGCTTGACGTATTGGTAGAGGGCGTACTTCCTCGCGAAGCCTTCGAAGTACGCGAAGATCTCTTTCGCTGGTGGATATACAGCGGACCAGTCAAGCTTGGGTTCGAAGCTCCATGTGTAGTTGTGAGAGGGCACATCGCAGGCACAACTGATTCTGTTAGTCATTTTCTTTCGACAGGGTGAAATTAGAAGAAGTGATGCGCACCCAGGATACTTGTTCTCCCACCAGGTGCCCGATACTGCTTCGTTCTTTTCGTATACGGCAAGCGAGAAATTTTGAAAGTGTTTCTGCATCTTGTAGGCCACAAGAAGACCCGAGGCTCCGGCGCCTACGCAGATGACTCGGATGTGCTTTTCGGAGTGGATGGGGCCATCGAGCCTCCTCGACGCATCACGATCACCGGCATGCATGGTCTCTGGTAACAGTAGATCGGCCATTGCAGATATAGAAAGTGGTCGACGAACGGGCGCGAGTGTCGAATGCAGAAGCACTGGGTATGATGGAGTAGACCGTAGGATGACAGGACGGCCCTTGACTATCAAGAGAACAGATAATGAAGAGAAGGCAGGACACGAAACCGCGATACAGGAAGACCTTCAGGATAGAGGGTATTATAACAGCATACAGGACGGTATGAAACAGGTCAGTCAAGCGCAGGTGGCATGCCGAGCAGCTGGCGTCATGACATGCACACTGTGGCCCTGGCCCCTGTCAGTTGGCTTCCTCAAGGTGCGTGGCCGGCTATCGAATATCGAGGTGCGGCACACCAACTTCCCGTAGGAGCGCTGTGCGACGGACAGCCGATGATTGTCGGTCTTTGGTGTGGCATGACCGGGGTTTGGGGGCGGTAGCTTCATGCAGCTAGGGAAGCAAGCTCAGAGAAACACGGGACTGGACAGCTGTTGAGGATCGGCCGAGTCATAGAGGATGTACCGCAGAAGGAAGTCTGGAGGCTCCATGACTCGTCTTCACTCGCCCGTCTGTGGTCGCAGACGATAGACTCAGTCATGTTCGTTGTACGGTGGACCGGGTAGGGGGTGGGCTCAATGGGAATCCCAGTCGACAGCCTTGGGGAAATCCAGACTACCAAGCTAGCGAAGCGAACGTGGCCCGCCCAGCCGGGCTACCGGTCTCATGGGATGGAGTGGCCCGGCGCAGGCTGTGGACATGGCAAGCAAGACAGGCGTGCTGGTGCAGGGTCAAGGGCTGGCCAGCCGTTTCTCCAAGCGACATGGCGTGACGGCTACTTGCTGTTCCCGTTGAAAAACGTCCGAGGGGTCGGCCGAGGGGTCAAGGTACCGAGCCTGGAGTGGAGCTGAATCATTGAGAGGGGTGTCTCTTCGCCAGTCTGGGGTTGTTTGCGGGGAGGAGGAGATGGTGCCTTGGCGGGCGGTGTTGAGACGAAGACGGTCGGAAGCTTGATCATGACCCCCCTTTGGTTTGTTGATTCTGGCTCGGGAAACCTCAACCGCAGGGCGTTTCTGGAGTTGGTGGGGCTCGGAACTGTTTGCCCTTGCCAGATCGTGCTCGAGGCCATCAGCCGCCAGCAGCTGGCCTCTCACTTGGCATTCGGGCCACTCCTTCGTCTTTACTCATCACCGTTCATCAACCTCATCTTGAGGTGCCTACCTAATTTTGGATGGCCAACAAGCATCCTTCGATATCGATACAAATATGAGGTCTCAAGAGTGGTTCGAGGGTGATTTATGTTCACGTGTCAACTTCGAGCAATTGGATTCAGCAACAGAAGTGATCATAGGCAACACATTTTGCTTTATTCCCAGAATCTTGCCACCATGCACCTTAAGCCAACTACGTATACAACCATTTGTAATGTCTCATGTATCTACAGCCTCGCCCTCTCTTGTTGGCTGGCGGCCTCAATCGCCGTCGCATCCCTCTTGGCCCACTCGCGCATTGTCTTGCGCTGAATCTTGCCGCTTGCCAGCTTGGGCACCTCCTCCACGAACACGACCCCACCAGTCAACCGCTTGTGCTTGGCCACGCGCGTCGTGATCCATTCCGCAACGTCCGCCGGCGTGACCTTGCCCTTTGAATCCTCCTGCATGGCGACGTAGGCTCTCGGCTTCTCCTCCCCGTTGCTAGGTTCGTCAGTTCAGAGTTCAAGGCCACTTGTACCTCGTCCTTGGGGAATACCTACACCGTGATGCCTACCGCCGCCGCATCTGCAATATGCTCGTTCTCGAGAAGAACGGCCTCCAGCTCAGCCGGCGCTACCTGCAGCGCATTGACCTTGATGAGTTCCTGTTTTCGTCAGCTTCGTTGTTTGGAAGAAGTTGCTTTTGACAGAAGAGCCTGGCAGGGAGATAAAGAACAAAAAAGGACAGCAGCATACCTTCTTTCGGTCGACGATCCAGAAAAACCCTTTCTTGTCGCAGACGGCAATGTCCCCCGTCTTCAGCCAGCCCTCGCTGTCGATACACTCCTTGGTCGCGGCCTCGTTCCGCCAGTAGCCTAGACAGACGTTGGGCCCTCGAACGACCATCTCCCCGGGCAGCCCGACACCAACCTCGCGCCCGTCGTCGTCGACGAGCCGCATCTCGCAGTTGGGGTCGAGTTGGCCGACGCTCCCCGTGTCGTCACGGATACCGCCCGGCACGTGCAGCGCCCCGCAGGTCACCTCGGTCATGCCCCAGCCCTGGTTGATCTGGACGCCAAAGCGGCGCTGGCACTCGTTCTGCAGCTCGCGCGACAGTGGCGCCGCACCGCAGAGCACGTCGCGGACGCTGCTGAGATCGTAGCGCGCCGTCTCGCGGCGCTTCGACAGCATGACAAGGATGGGCGGCGCCACCTGCAGGCTCGTGATGCGATAGCGGCCGATGGCGGCGAGGAAGTCCTCGTAGCGGAACTCGCGCATCACGTAGACGGGCACGCGCAGCCGAATGGCCATGAGAATGGTGTAGAGCTGGCCGTAGGCGTGGTAGAGGGGGAGGAAGCCGATCCAGCGCTCGGCGGGGCGCGAGGCAAAGGGGTACGGCTTATGGGCGTAGCGCATGACGATTGTCTGCTCAACGTTGGCGATGAGATTATGGTGGGAGACGCAGACGCCCTTTGGGAGGCCGGTCGTACCGGAGCTGTAGTTGATTGTGGCGACGGTCGTTTCAGACTCGGACGGTGTGAGATCGGGCCAGCGGTACGTCTCGACTTCGGAGGGGGTGCCGAGAAGGGCACGCCAGTCAGGAATGCCATGACGGGTGGCCGCTTCTGTGTCGGAAAACTGGAAGATGCGGTTTTTAGGCAGATTAGCCTTTTGGGCGGCTGCGAGGACGTGATCGAGGTGGTCTGGGTGGGCGAGAACGACTTTGGCTGTCGTGTTATTGAGCTGGTGGACGAGCTCAGAAACCGTATAAGCTGGGTTGGCGCCACTGAAGATGCAGCCGGCACCGACGATTCCTAGGTAGGCGACGGGAACGAAGATTTGGTTGGGTGTGCAAATCAGGACCACGTCGCCGCGCTTGACGCCGATCCTCTCGAGTCCGAACGACAGCCGCTTGACCCATTCGACGAGCTCTTTGGGAGACAGGTTGATCCTGTCATCTTTGCAGTCAAGCCACAGGGGGTCTTCTTGTGGGAGTTGGTCCTCGGGGAAGAGATATGTGAGGAGGTTTGTCTTGGGTATGTCCAGTGACGGAAAGGGTGATGTGAAAACCATGACTGCTGTGTTGCGATGAGACAGGCAGCTGCCGCTTTCGAGAGATCTACCGAGTGCTGAGACGTGTAATGAAAGATGGCCGCAATACAATCATGGAGGCCAAGATGCGAACGTGTTCAAACATCCAAGCAGCAAGCATCTTCAATCGAGATCATGATGTGATAAAGTGGCCTCGCGGCAACTGATCCCAGCTCCTTCTCAGAAATGACCGTATCGACCCTCGGCAGGAGCTGCCGGGGTCTTGCGGGGTAACTGCTGGTCGTGGTGGATCCCAGGAAGTGGGGAGCTACCCCGATATTTCCCCAGTTTCCGGCCGCCAGTGTCCATTGCCCGCAGCCCTTGTTGGTGCTGTCTCTCTTTTTTTCTTTGCCGAGGTGCGCGTCGAGGTACCCATAGAGATAAGGCAGGTGCCCCTCTGGCACTCAGCCAGGTGCTGTGCCTGGTCGTATCTGTCTCAACCACTCGACACCCAGCTGTCTGCGCCTCGCTATTCGGTCACACCCTCATTGTCCATTGCGACACCGCCCATAGGTCATCATGTCCGAGCTCAAGAACTTCAGCAATGCATTTTCTCTCGAGGGCCGAACGGCTGTCGTCACCGGCGGCTCCCGCGGCCTTGGCCTGCACATGGCCACCGCCTTCCTTCTTGCTGGCTGCTCCCACGTCATCATCACCGCCCGCAAGCTCGAAGGGGAGCAGGGCATCACACAAGCAGTCGAGAAGCTGAACAAGCTGCCCCAAATCCGCGGAAAGGCCATTGGCCTTGCGGCGAACGTGGCCGACACCAAGGATATCGAACGCCTTGTGGGCGAGGTCAAGAGCATTGTTGGGAGCAAAGGCCTGAACATTCTGGTGTGCAATGCTGGTGCCGCCTGGGGTTCGAAGTTCGAGGATGCGCCGCCGAGCAGCTCCGTCAAGATCTTGGATCTCAATGTGAGAGGCGTCTTTGAGCTAGCGCAAAAGTAAGCTGCCTTCGTCTCCGGAGTCACAGACCGTGCTGATCAGTGTCCACAGATTCCTCCCCTTGCTGCAGCAGGCTGCTTCGCGGGAGGACCCGGCGCGCGTACTCACCATCAGCTCAACAGCTGGGAGCAACGTGCCACATGTCGGCGAGCATGGTACAATCATGTATTCCGTCTCAAAGGCGGCAGCCAACGTAAGTAGTCTGCATGCCGAACGCTCTGCTAAACAGTGGGAGACTGACAAAGTAGCACTTGGGCCGCAACTTGGCCGTCGAGCTGGGACGACGCAACATCACCTCAAATATCATTGCGCCCGGCTTTTTCCCGTCAAAGCTGGCGTCAGGTCTCATTAGTAATCTGGGCGGCATCGACGAATTAAGCAAGGATAATCCATTGGGAAGACTGGGCGAGGCCGACGACATAGCCGGTGTTGCTGTGTTCCTCTGCTCTCCGGCTGGCAAATATGTGTGAGTACCCTACAGAATTCTGAACCATGCGCAGCTTGCTGACGAGTTTCAGAAACGGCGTCGAGGTGGCAGTGGACGGCGGTGCCAGATTGTCGGCAGGGAGGATGTCCCGTCTTTGAATCCAGATGTGGTGACTGCAGCTCTGCAAGGGCTTTACCAATCAGAATAGTCTGTCATGCGTGAACACACAGTTTCAACGACCACAGTCCGTCGTGTGCAAAGCGGGTCGGGTATCATGTACTAGCCACACCATTCATCGAACACTTTCACAATGATACCCAATTTTCAGGTGACTGCATGTATGCATTTTGGCTGTAAGAATATTGATTGAAAATTACACCAAGTTCGCTCCTCTCAGATGCTTTCATTTGAATGTGATACCTTGTCGCTTCGTCACCTTGCCCTCCTCCATGTCCTGCACCATCGCAGGCAGCTCCTCAAGCCCCTTTCGGATCTCTACCACCGGCATGATGCCATGCTCCTCCGTGAACTTGACAGCCTTGCCCATCCTCTGTGGAATAGAGGTGCTGTCAGCCTTGATCTGATAGTTACCCAGCAGCAGATCCATGACATTGACCTGCAGCGGCTCCTTCGACACTCCAATAATCATCAGCGTGCCCCCGAGCGCCAGGCACGTTGGCGCAGACGCAAACGCCGGCGCCGCATTCGTGTACACGGCAACAGCACGAACACCTCCCCCCGTCAGCGTCTTGACGTCTTGCGCCCAATCTGCGTTTGACCGCGAGTTGAAGACGGCCTCGGCGCCCTGCCTCTTCGTCTCCTCGAGGTTCGCATCGGCAACGTCGATACCCACAACACGCAGCCCCATGGCCTTCGCGTACTGCGTCGCCAGCTGCCCGAGGCCGCCGCACCCGACCACGCCGAACCAGTCGCCCGGTTGCAGGGCGCAGCTGTCGACAGAGTGGAACGCCGTGATGCCGGCGCAGAAGACGGCGCTCGCGGCGTCCATATCCCACTTCGCCTCGTCCAGCACGACGGCGTTGCGCCGGTCAACGAGGGCGTACTCGGCGAAGAAGCCGTCAACGACGAACCCCTGCAGGAGCTGCTTGCCCGTCTCGCAGTGGAGGTTGTGCACCTGGCAGCCGGCGCATGTGAAGCAGCACCCGCGGATGTAGAGAAAGCCCACGGCGTCGCCGAGTGCGAAACCCTGGTTCTCAGCGGACGCGTGGAACTGCACAATGTGGCCGACGCCTTCGTGGCCGAGCGTCACGATGTCCTGGGCGTCGCGGATGGCGAGGAGGTCGCTATGGCAGAGAGAGGCGGAGCGTATCTTGACAAGGAATTCGTCGGGGCCGGGTTCGGGGACGGGAATCTCGTTGATGACGACCTTCTTTTGGTGCTGGGTCGCGTTAGTGGACGAGAACCGACATGGAATGTGCGTGACGTACCGGGTCCCATTGACCGGCCTTCATGGTTTTGGGAATAGATGACATGGCTGTGAGATAAAAGTGTGCCAGCTGACGTGCCTGCGTGTGTGATCCAACAGTCCGAGTCAATAGAGAAGTACAAGATCAAACTTAGTTTAACCTTCACGGGGAATTGTATTTGAATTCTTGTTATCGGGCAGAGACCAAAATCCCCGGCAATGAGTTCTGTTCTCAAATTTACATTAACAGACATTTGGAGGGCCAAAAGTCCGGAAGCTCTCATCCAAAGACGTGGTAAGATGTTTGCTTTGCAAGTCCGTTTGTATCTATTCCTATACCCCAGATATGGACCTGTGACATCTCATCACCCAGAACAAAGGGTCACTAGCACTCGCTAGAGGTTACCCAACCAATCCGGAAGCTTTCGAGAGGCATCAAGCGTGTGGTGGCGTCTCGCCGGATCTCTACTCCCTCTCGAGCTCGGGTCCGTCGAGGACCCCGCCATTTATCCATCGATACATACCCACATTACCTAGGTAAGAGTCAGTTGGTCATGCAGCAGAACGACCTGCAGCGGGATCGTTGGCTGTGTGGGCGGCATTGTTCGTGTTGTCCAGGGGCTGTACTCGTAGCATTGCGGGGGAGGAGCCGGACGAGTCATCGCCCCCAACTTTCTCCAAGTCCCTGACTCGAGTGGAAATCAATAACCTCCGCCATTTGGCATGCATCCTGTGCTCGGAAGTCAAGCAGGTGGCCCGTTTCGACGAGAGGGGATCGCTTGGGTTGGTATATCTAAGCAGCTTGGAGCAGATCAAGTGTTGGCCGTTACAAGACAACTCCGGAGTTAAGAAAACCTGCTGCTTGAACTTCGCCGACGCCATTAATTAATTAATAACCTACGTCTGTTCTGCAAGCTTCTGATACCAAGCCGTCCTGGTCGTGTTCATTTGAATCCTTCTTCTCATATTTGTACCTAAAGCCGGCAGTGATCACATCATGACTTCATTAGGACCTGGTTTGAAAGAGGCTTCGAAGAACCTCCCATCCTCCTTCGATTGGAGCAAAGGGAACCTTCCCAAGAAGCTCTTCATCAACAACGAGGTATATCACATCCTCTTTTTTGCAGGCAATTTCTGACTTCTCGAAGTATGTCGAGTCAAAGAACAACAAGAAGCTGTCACTGCACAACCCTATAGACGGTTCCGCAGTCGCCGATGATGTTGCTCTCGCTGGCGAGGCAGACGTCGATGCGGCAGTGGCAGCTGCCGAAGCCGCGTTCCCAATTTGGAAGAAGACACCCCCTAACACACGCCGAGACATCATGAACAAGTTCGCAGACCTCCTCAACCAGAACGGGCTTGCCCTGGCTGAGCTGACGCGCCTGACCCTCGGAGCTCCCTTTGGGTCTTTCGGTTCTTTTGAAATTAATCTCGCATGCGAAGGTTTCCGTTACTTTGCTGGCTGGACAGACAAGTTCCCCGGTGAGACGTATCCCCAGGAAGACGGCTTCATGAAGATTGTACGCAACGAGCCGCTCGGCGTCACCTGCGGCATCATCCCCTGGAACGGCCCCTTGGGCAACGTCGGCATGAAGGCGGGCCCGGCCCTGGCAACAGGCAACTGCTTCATCCTCAAGCCTTCCGAGAAGACCCCGTTCGCCGCCCTAGCCCTGGGAACCCTCATCAAAGAAGCTGGTTTTCCACCTGGCGTCTTCCAAGTTATTTCTGGCGACGGCAGTACGGGCGCCCTCCTAGCGAGCCACATGCGCGTACGCAAGGTCAGTTTCACGGGGTCTACCTCAACGGGCCGCAAGATCCAGGAGATGGCTGCCAAGAGCAACCTCAAGCGCGTCACGCTCGAGCTCGGCGGGAAAAGCCCTGCCGTAGTCTTCGACGACTGCAACCTCGACAACGCCGTGTCGTGGTGCGCGAACGCTATCACGGCCAACACGGGACAGGTCTGCTTTGCGGCAAGCCGAGTGTACGTACAGGCGGGCATTTACGACAAGTTCGCCGCGGCGTACAAGGCGGCCATGGAGGAGAAGGCTCGCGGTGTCGGAGATCCCAACGAAGAGGGAACTATCATTGGCCCACTGGTTGATCAGGCACAGTTCGACCGTGTTCGAGGCTTCATCGAGCGCGGGCAGCAGGGTCAGGGGACGCTGCTCGTCGGAGGCGGCCGCGTTGGTGAGAAGGGTTACTACGTACAGCCGACCGTGTTCGAGAATGTTGCACAAGACGCCGAGCTTTGTCGCGAGGAGATCTTTGGGCCTGTCGCCATACTCAACCGTTTCGAGACGGAAGAAGAGATTGTGGCCAAGGCAAACGATACCAACTTTGGACTGATGGCTGGCGTCTTCACGCAGGACATTAACAAGGCGATGCGCGTGGCGTCTGATATCGACAGCGGCATGGTCGGCATCAATTGTGTCAGTCTTTGCTTCCTGACGGCGCCTTTTGGTGGCAGCAAGGAGAGCGGCTCTGGTCGTGAGAACGCGATCAACGCACTTCGCATGTTCACGGAGCCCAAGACCGTAATGGTGAACTTGACTTACTAGCTAGCCATTTGCCTGTATTGCGGAATTTATCGGTATTGAACCTGTTCAAGGCTAAAGCTAGTCGCCGCGGAGAATTAAAAAGTGACGCGAATAGTGAGGATGAAGGCTAAGCCATCAGCACTGAAGACAAGGAAATACCTGTCTTTGCTAATCCATGCTTGTCCGAGAAACTCTCTTCATTTGAAAAGATCATCTTCGTCTGAGTCAGGACCATCAATCTGTTCGAAATCAGAGTCACCCTCGTGAATCATGTCCCCTTGTAACAGCTGCCGGTACTCCTCGCTCATTTCCGCCACTTTTTCAAATTCAAGCAAGGTCATGATTTCCCTGAGTTCATCTTCGATAAAACAATCCTTTTCCTCCTCCAACCTGTGCACAACTGATTCGAGCGGCGTCTGTCCGTTGCGGCTCGATACTGTGGCATCGGCACCTAGATCCAACAAGAACTTGACACACTCCACATACCCTCTGGTCGCATAGTGATGAAGGAGCGTCGACCCATGATTATTGAGAGCGTTGACGTCGGCGCCCCAATGTATTGAGCCCAATGCCATGCCGCGCTGTCGTGGGTAATCCGAGAGCGCCGTTTCGAGCACGATCTTCAACATGTCGTGCTTCGCAGCCGGACTTTTCGCCTTTGAAAGTAGATAGTCCAAGTAGCCAAATTTGCCGCGTCGAACAGCATACCATATCGGCAGTGCGATCACGTCGCCCGTAGGGGGGTGAGGATTTGCACCACTCTTGAGCAGTAACCGTCGCATGCGAGCTGTTCCAGCCAAACAAAGCGCCGTGCGGCCGTGCCCATTGCAGCATTCGATGTTGACCTGCGGCTGAGTGACTAGAAGACGCACAACCCCTACCAACTGCGATCGCGTTGCCAGCAAAAGAGCAAAGTCATATGTAGGTAGGGTAGAAGGTAGCTCATCTTGGAATGCGGAACTTGGCCAGCCTTTGCTTTTGCATGTCAGAAGTTTGACGATGAGATCCAACTCGTCCTCGCCAAAGTTTCCTTCCAGGTGTTTTGTTGTGTTGGTGATTGCATAGCGATGGAAAGCCATGTGAGGGTGTCTTTCTATCCAGTCATCAACGTCTTGAATTGTGTCCCCCACTCTGTAGCCAGTCATCTTATAGACAGTTTGGCATACCAAATGTTTCGAGACATGATATCCGTTAATCTCATAGCTAGGGAGATGTGGATCGTTATTATATAGCCAATTATACCGAAGACAAATGCGTGCCATGAAGCTATTGGACAATCTGGGACTGAATGAGTGTTGCCACTGCGTGGAAAGGTTGGCCGTCGGCATTTTGGTATCCGAAGATTGGAAGAACTCCCGCACCGTCTGGTGTAGAAAATAGACACGATCGTTGTGTGTGATGATAAAAAGCCCACTTATCTCCCTCAAGCTTCTCTTGAACGCTTGTTCGTCCTCCATGTCCAAATCGTCAAGATCGTTGACGCCTTCGTCCAGGTTCATCGCAACATTCATCTCCGCTATCGTCAAAGGAGCTGCTGCTCCCAAGATAATGGTGAAGGCTTTTCGTATGATTGGCTGTAAGCTTTCATCAGTTCGACTCAGGATCTTTGAGTAGGCGTCATTGATACTGCGCGGTAGATCCTCAATCGCATCTTCCAAGCCCCTGATAGTCTTTTTGAAGTGACTAGTCTCGACAAAGCTGAACGTCAATGCAGCCCAAAGATATGTTGGGTTCTCGACACTGAGGAGCCTCTCCTCAAGTCGCGAGAGCAGTGTTTTGGGTATGATTCTCTGAAGTTTGGGATCGCGGACCTTGTACTGAATCACCATCTTGACTTCTTGCCGAATGGTGGTCGACTTCTCTTCACCAAACACGCGGATACAAGGTGCCGCAATCATGTTTGTGATGTTTTGATATGGACGGGTGGTGAAGAGCCATCGAGTGGTGGCGTGAGAATGTTTCTTAGCGGCGAGTAGGTGGTTGACGCTCCTAGCCAATACTTGAAAGTCTGCCTGTCGGCATTCGTCCAGTCCGTCCAGAACAATAATAACTGGACCTGTATCCGAGTCTCTGAGGCTAGCCTCCAAGATACTCCAGAGCACAGTCGTGTTGTTCTGTAGGCTATTGCCATTCTTCGCGTGCTCGTGCGCCAGGTGCCTCTTTATCAAACTGGGCTTCCGACTCAGCAGCTGATGCAGTAGAGCACACAGTGCCAGAGGGAGCCTATCCTGATCGTCCTCCTTAAAAAAGAAGTAGCATATTGTTGCCTCGTTGGCGTCTTCGAGAAGTCGCTCGTCGATGAGGTGCTTGGCCAGAACAGACTTGCCGCAGCCGGGGTCTGCTGAAACCACCAATAGCCCATGAGCCTTCCGCAGCCAGTCTTGATATTTCTCCTCCTCAAGAAGCCAGTTGCATGTTCCTGGAACTCTGTTCTCGGTGCGTTCTTTTGCGCTTTCGTATGACAGATCTTGGGAATTGTCATGGGGCCGCAAGACCTGGAGGTGCTCCTGTTCTTCCAGGGACAGTGCTCGTGACTCAAGGCGCTGTAAAGTAGCAGCCATTTCACGCGTGGATTCTGCATGATTATGGAACGCTGCAGAAATATCCAGCATTATGGAATTCGTGACTTCGAGGCTCGCGGCAGTCTCTTCTTTCAATTGACGTAGATAATCCTCACTGGCTGTGCGCTGGAGGGGTCGCCATCGCTCTGCGACAAGGCTTTCGGCGTCCTTCACCCTCTGCAGCATGGTCTCCCAGCCGTCATAGTCGAAAGCATCTCTGAACTTATTCTTCAGCTTGCGCCGATTGAACCGTAAGGCTGACCGGAGCTGAAAGGAGAGTATGGCTTTGTACAGCTCTACGATGCTCTCTTCGGCAGCATCAACGAGCTCTTGTGAGCACGAACCGTGGCTTTTCCGAAACTCTGGCTCAAGAGCCAGGAAGTACTTCAGAGTCCCAGTGACGTAGATGAAGCCGCTGTCATTCATTTCTTTAGCCTTCTGGACGTTCTCCAGCAAGGGAAGGACCAAGATGGTGGCAGCCCAAACAATGGAGACTTCGAAAGACGCCGTCTTGCCCAGCGCTGTGGACACCAGATCTTTACCCCAGGCTATAACGCGAATGCCCTTGTCGAATATTTCACCGACTTTATGATCCTTGTTCCTGAGCTTGAACCTAATCTCTGCATCTTCCATTCGTTGCTTGCCGTCTTGGCACAGCCTTTGGACATCGTGGTGTGTCGGATCTTGGTCTTGCGCCGGATCTCCCAGCAATCTTGGTGGCTGATTTCGTCGCTGAACTTCTTGAGCTGCGAGTGTCTGAAAGTCTAACACGAGGCCACTTTCTTCCTCCCGAAGCTTGTCGTATGCTTGCTTCCAAAGAGAACGCGAGTCGCGAGGAGTATCGGGCCCATTTTGTGTGGTCAGATCAGTTGGTAGAGCTGATGGTTCGAGATACTTGTGATCCTCCTCGAGTGCTGGATGTTCCCTATTCTTTGAGATGAGTGGTCTTTCAACGTTTGTTTCGGCTGTCGTGGTTTTCCCGGGGGTAATCCAGGGCCTCGTGGTCTTTGAGTTTGACGACGGCGCCTGGGTTAGCTTTGACGCCGAAGCCAGGCGCTCTCGCAGTTTATTCATTAGCCCCATGGCCCATACCAGCGCCAAGGCCGCTTCAAACGGCCTACAGAAGAAGACAAACCGTATATTTGTGTAGCCTCAGATGTGCAATCAAACATTCACAAGAAACATGCCAGAAGCGGGGTCACTTCAGCTTCTTCAGCTCGTTGCTCATGAAGGCCAGGCTGAGGTGACTTACCCCCGCGTCTGGACGAATGAGGAATGCTTCTTCCCCCACGCACTCGCGCCAATGGGGCAAAGTGTAAGAAATGCTGTACCGGCATGATATCGCCTCAATCCTTGGCAGCATCAAAATCTTGAGCCTTGAAGAGTACATTCTACGAATCATTTCGTCATTTCGGATGCTAATTGTTGATTCCTTATTAATAGTCAGCCCAAGGCTTACCTTTGGTTTCAAGAGCCAAATCTTTCAACGACTTCCACTTTCCAAAGCCCCCATCCCCTTCGATAATCGAATTGTCGTTCCCAAGACCACCGGCAGTGTGTTTAATAAGACCCTCTCCCATCAAGAAACGTAGGTATTTTTCAGGCGTCGGCTCTGGGTTGGCTAAAAGATTGGCCTTGTAGGGGTTCAAATCAACGGTCGAAACCTCGATCGGCTTCTGGTCCTCACTCGCCTCCTCCATAATCCTGGCAATCTCTGCGACTGATTTGGTGTCGCCAGCGAGGTGCACCTTCTCAGGAACTTCAGCGGGAGGCAACACCGCCAGAGCAGCGAGGGCACGTCCCACGTCGTGCATGCTCGTGTAGGACGTCGCCTCGTCCGGGCTGCCCACGGCCTCGTACCTGTTCAGCTTTGTGTGGAAGCCAAACCAGGGCCCGATCGAGTCTTCCAGAAAGAGGCCGGGGAAGACGCGGCAAACGCGTATCTCAGGGATCAGCTCCTCGGCCAGGCGTATGTGGTTCTTCTTGGCATCCCACTCGTCGTGCGCAAAGTCGTGCACGTAGTGATCAACCCCAAACTCGGATGGGAAGTAGAGCTTCACGGAGGATTGCGGCAGGGCGCGGAGCAGCTGCTCTTTGAAATGGTGGCCTGTCGCACCGACTCTGGCGCCCAATCAGTATCTACAAGCATGTTTGATTGCGCGGTGGGACTCACGTGTTGATCAAGACATTGACCCCTTCGAGGGCAGACTTGAGGTTGCCTTCGGAATACAGCCTAACCGTCGCTCCTTTTGATCTGAGGCTGGCGGTTTTCTCTGATTCGTTGCGAGCCAAGACGACCAGCTCGCGGAAGCGCGGGCGGAGTTGGTCTGATAGCAGCGCCTGGACAATCTTGTAGCCAAGATTTCCGGTGCCACCAGCGATTGCTACAGTGGTAGAGCTCATGTTCGTTTGAGGTTTACAGTTGCATTCGTGCTCCAGAAGGTTGGATGGCTACACCGGAATGTGTAGGAGTCCGGAGATGCGGGGTTGGGTTGAGAGGGCGATTGTCAGCGTTAAGCTCAGTCGTCTGACGCAGCTCCAATGGGACGGAGTTCACCCTCTACCGCATGCAGCGAGGTACCCCGCTGGGTGACGCAGATTTCGTGTGCCATGCGGCTTTCTCGATGTTCTGATCCAGCAACACCCAAAAGAGTCCTCGCCTGGGAGAATTGAGGGTGTGTCGAACAATGGAAGTCGATGAAGTATACAGCGTACCTATCTTCTTCCCCCTTCGCCTCACCATCGACATGGGGGCCCTGTCAGGCAGCCTGTGACGGGTAGAGTGTAGGCGTTTAACCCACGGCCAAGCTGCAAGCTTGACAGCCATCGACGTCAGTATTCTGCGTCGGACGTGAAACGTCGGTAGTCGTTCAAGAGATGCCGCGTCCATTAGTCCGAACAATCGATACCATTGGCGAGAAGATGCGCAATCCAGATCCTCCATCTCTGGAACCCATGACGTGCTCGGTGCTGACATCACGCAATGCCTAGATCGGCCAAGGAATTGGCGCCAAGGTGGGGCGTGAGCTTGTCTGTACTTGGCTCCTGATGGTCCCTATTCCATGCTGGGTCTAGGCCACACCTCTTCGCTTTCAGGGGTGCTCGAAATGAGCGAGCCTCGACAGTTGAAGAGCCTCGTGTTGGAGATTCGTTGCTATCGAGAAGCTTCATGGAAGTAGGAAGGGCACATGGAGTTAACTGACACGCTGGCGAGTGCTTCATTGTGCGTGCTGTTTGCTTGCAAGCGAGACATGTGAACAGAAGCGACGGCATCTGTCGGCGGGCGCCCTTTGACCACGCGGATTAAGCATAAATTTTGCCTCGCTCTCTGGCGCAACCGTTGGAATGAACGACAGGGTGCAGGAGGATGTTTCCTCTCCAGCGCCCCACCCAAGCTTTTTACCAGTCGAACCGCTTCCAGTCAAGATCGCTGCAGACGTCCCCTTCGAATGAGCAACGGTCGTGGTGACGTTGCACGGGATCCTCTTCCACGGAGACCTTAAAACCAACCTGGGCCCAGAGCCTGATTCGCAATCTGGGAAAGCTCTTGTTGCAGATTTCGTTTCTTCCTCTGCCCCCTCAAGGTACCCGATCTTCCAAGTGCGATACTGTCCGCTGTTATTGAACGACCGACTTCCATCATGGAGACGAAATTGAAGACGACGTCCGACTCAGACCCGGAGCGGGACAGCACAAACGCACCAAAGCAGTCCTCGTGGCTCGCGTCCGCGTTCGGCGGCCCAAACGTTGTCATTGGGCCTCGTATTGAGCCGGTTGCTGCCCACTTGCTGCCGAATCACCAAGAGGGCGACAGTGATGTCGGTTCCGCCGCCGAGATCATGGGAAAGCAAGTTGACGCAGAGGAAGGTAATGGCATCAAGTACAGGACTTGCTCGTGGCAAAAGACGGCTGGTCTTCTCTTTTCCGAGTACATCGTTCTCTCCATCATGAGCTTTCCCTGGTCCTACAGCCTCCTCGGTTTAGTCCCCGGCCTCATCCTGACAGCCGTCGTCGCGAGCTTGGTGCTCTACACGAGTCTGGTGCTGTGGGAGTTCTGCCTGAGACACCCCGAAGTGCGCGACGTCTGCGACGTCGGACAAATGATCTTCTGGAACAAGAAGTGGGCTTGGTGGTGGACCGCCATCATGTTCGCTCTCAACAACACCTTCATCCAGGCCCTGCACGTGCTCGTCGGCGGCATCTATCTCAACACCATGACTGAGGCCGACACTATCCACGCTTGCCGCACAGTCGCGTTTGCCGTCGCTGTCACGGTGATCAGCTGGCTTGGCTCCCTGCCTCGCACCTTCAACATGCTCTCCACTCTTGGATTCGCCTCGGCATTCTTCACCTTTATTTCCGTCATCCTGGCGACGGCTTTTGCTGGGGCTCAGGGCAAGCCTGCAGGCTATCCCGAGTTGGGCGAGCCGATCGTCTCGGCTTGGACGCCTTCCACGACGACTCTCGTCACCGGCATGTCGGCCTTCATGAACATGAGCTACACTTTCATCGGGCAGACGACCTTGCCCAGCTTCATCGCTGAGATGCGCGACCCTCGGTATGTCGACTCGAGGTACAAGCCTATGGAGCCTTTTCTAACACAGGTCCTAGCGATTTCCCCAAGGCCCTTTGGGCCTGCACTTGCGCTGAGATTGTCACCTTCAGCATCGTGGGCTCCGTCATTTATGCTTACACCGGCAACCAGTACATGGTAGCGCCGGCCTTTGGCGTGCTGGAGAACGTGTACAAGAAGGTGTCATACTCGTTCATGATTCCAACGATCATTTTCGTCGGCTGCCTCTACGCCTCCGTCACCGGACGCTTCATCTTCTTCCGCATGTTCCACCAGTCGAAACATCTCACGGAGCACACCTTCAAGGGCTGGTTCTACTGGGGGCTGGTCCTTCTCGGAAGCTGGGTGCTCTCCTTCATTATCGCGGAGGTCATCCCCTTCTTCTCCTCCTGTAAGTCAATCGTCCCCTCTGTCGTGCTTTCGGAGGATCTGACTGGTCCGAGTGCTCTCCGTCATGTCGTCGCTCTTCAATTGCTGGTTCGGCTTCATCTTCTGGGGCCTGGCCTACTTCCGCATGCGAAACGCCGATATCAAGCATGGCGTGCCGCGCCGAAAGATTTTGGACAAGCTTTCCGTGGCGCTCAACGCTGTCATCATTTTGACTGGCTTCTTGTATCTCACTTTGGGCACCTATGTGAGTGTTCAGGGCATCATTGATCAGTTTGAAGCTGGGACAGTAGGAGGGGTGTTCAGCTGCAAGAGCAACGGCCTTTAGGTCTCCGGCTGGTACTAGATGCACTAAGAAGAGAATGACTCCTCTGCATGGAGAGTGGGAGCTTGAGCTTTTTTAACGAATTCATGACCTGATCACAATTGTTTCTCGTCCGCCGTCCGCCGTCCGCCAGACTTTGCATGGTTTTCACACACGAACAACAGCATTTGCCGGACCCTTGATCATGATTGACAACATTGGTAAAAAGAAGAAGACAATGCAGCCATCTTCTACTCAAATATGAAGCCCTCAAAAGATTGCGTCGCCTATTTTGCCCTTTTTCAGTCACCCTGACGAACAAAAAGCGAACCCGAGAGCTGGCGTTCAAAAAGTTTATGACTCTTCGAGTGAACGATCATTTTGCCTTGAATCAGTTTACGAACATGTGCTTGAGCCCAGTAATGGTTTCTCTGAAGCCAGGAACCTCCATTGGATTGATATCCAAGTCTGAGGGGCCCAGAAATAGACCGTCCTTCTCCTCCCAGGGGTCGCACATTTCCCCGAACTTGAATTGCAAAGCTAGCTCCTTGCCCGTGGGACCCCAAAGCGTCTCCCAGGACTCAGCGGAGCACGGCACGTAGACAGCACGCTTCCCGGTGATCTCGCCCCAGACTTCGTTCATTTGTTGGAATGTCCACTTCTCCAAAGCGACGTTGGTGTACTTTCCAAAAGTCGCGGCACCCTTGGCCAGGACCTGTCTTGTCCAAAGGCCAGGCGTCACGGTCATGTCACCTGACAGCAGGACCTTCGCATCTGGGCGCGACGGGATAATCTGGACGTAGGTACCAGATCCAGGAGGCTACTTGTAGTTAGCAATCTATTGCTCACAGCTGTTGCATGTCATTCCTAGACAGCGACAAAAGATCGCGACTCACAAACTCAGTGGGCTTGAGCATGGGGTACCAGACAAGGTTCTGTGGATAATAACCAAAGTAGAGGTAAGTAGTTTTCGCCGCAAGCCCAGGGAGCTCCTTTTGAATCCGCTCATCGACATTGGCCTTGTAGTCCATATGCGGCGTCACCAGTTCGCCCTTGAAAACGCGCTTTGCGCTGGGCGTGGTGGACCACAGATAGTGCTCAAGAGAGGGCGTTCTGGCAGCAGCCCTGGCTATTTTCATGCCCTGTTCTTCCTCGAGTATTCCGGCCTCATCCTGCGTCTTGCCACTGAAGAGATGCTCCCACCAGTTTGTGACTGCATAGATCGCGGAAACGCCCTCGAACGCCTTGACGAGAGACTCTTCGTCATCAAAGCTGGCCTGAACTACCTCGATACCCTCGCTAGCAAGTTTTTTTGCTGCGTCACTCTTGGGGTTTCGTGTAATGGCACGAACTCTCCAGTTGGATGCGTTCTTCATGACGTTGATGACGCCTCCACCTTGGATGCCTGTGGCGCCGGTTACGGCAAGGATCTTGGTTGACATGATGGATGTTGTTATGCTTGGGATATGGTTTGTGAGAACAAGATCTTGGAAAGTTTTGGAAACATATGTAGTCCAACTGACAGTTATGCAAAGTGAGGATTTCAGAAACATGGAAGGATCTCTACATGAAATCCAATGGTACACGAGGAAGATCGAAGGCTGCTGCAGCTGGCGATCCACGTTCTACCCCTATCCGTCACATTATGCATTGTCAACCTTCACGCGATTCCCGGACAACTGGAACTAAGGAGCAACTTTTTGAAAGAGACAGAAAGAGTGGGCTTCCAAGCCTTCCACCGACTGTATCGTACGTTGGTGGCCAATGCATGTCCAGAGTCGAAAACCAGGGATATGGTGGATTCCGCCAGACAAGCATTGGAGCGCTTGGCTGCCACCGGCCGGAAAAGTCACCCTCTGTCCCAGTCGACCCACCTGGCAAAACACCGCATGATCGCTCCACTGTTGCGCTGCCTGTCTCGTCGATAGAGCCGATTACCTTGTGAAACCGAAAAGACATCAAGATGTTACTGATCAAGACAGTTCTTGTTGGAAGTTTTGAATTATAACTGTAGTGAATTGTATGGCTATTGTTCAGCGCCTCGATCCCAGGAACATTACACTAGCTCGGGCCATTTGTGCCGGCTCGGCACGGCCCTGCGCCGAGGTATCCTGCGGAAGCGGGCCCAAAGTGAAGATA